ATAATAGTATAGTATATGCTATATATACTAATAGAACATATTCAAAGAAGAAAACTTCTCTGTGCTTCGACTCCCCAGTGGTTGGATTATTTTGCCAAACCTGAAGACCTTTGACACATCTTGGCCAGGGTCGCCTTCTGCCTCTCTTGGGGCAAACACATCTTTGAAGAAAAAGACTGAAAGGGTAGACGGACATCTTGGGGCAAAATTCCCCTATTTTCAGTTGTCTAAACTGAGGTTTAAAAATAGAACTACTTAAAAACAAATGATTGAACCACTTTGTTGCTCTTTACCACTGGAGTGTCTCTAATAATGGTCAGCGACTGGGGACTCCAGAGGTCTCTAAGGTTAAATACCTTCTGTTTTAAGTAACAGAGGCATTGAGATGTGGTTTACAAAGTTGGGTCTATTTGAGATGTTGACAGTTTAATTATAGTCTTTCAAGTGCTGATGAAGATGACTGACATGATTTAACTTCTCCTTGAGCTTGCCTCCTTTAAGTTCTCTATCTGGTCAGGTATATAAAATTCAATAATCAAATCTTGTGTCAGTTTTACATTTTACAACAGTGTTGTAAAATTACATTTTACAACAGTCCCTTTGCTGCAAATGTACTACAAATCCAGGTAGTTATGTGTATGTAAGCATATTGTAAATAGTAAGTAGCAGCACACAAACAACACATTTAATGTTAACAGCTACTGTTTTTAAGCACCACTAACTTCACTAAGACATTTTAAATATAAGCATTCACATTCAAATTCACTGTATGCCATTGCTTTTTCCCTTTTAAAAATCGTTGTCAGTATTCAGAAGTTATATGTTTACTGCATTCTTTTGTACTGTTTTTCACTCTCTATCTCTAATATCTGTTTTATCTTTGTCTTGGAAATATGTCAAACTTAATTAGTAGGGAATCAGATACAATATATATAATTCCCCTGACAAAAACAGAATGCACATTATGGGCCTTGACAGACACAAAAATAAATCTGTTTGAACATCATCCCACCAACTAACTTAGTATGTCTGGTTCAATTCAATGTGCAAAAGTATAAAAAGCTCTGACAGTAGTCCAGTGATAGAATATAGACAAATGAGCAGTAAGTAACTTTTGTTCCCAACTAGACTTTAAGCCTGACCTTGGAAAAGCCTAACTGATCTGTTTATTTTTATGGAGTAAGGTGATGATGTGGAGATCAACATTACAAGCTGTTCACTATTTATTTGCCTACTTCCCCAGCATTTACACTTGTACACAACACATCTGTACACTACAGTCACCTGAACCTACTCACTCCACTTTGCAAAAGCCCCATGAAGCCCGGCTCCTGAATGAATCTGTTTAACATCTTTCAGTTCAAATGAGTGACTACACTAAACATGCTTTGGGGCATATGGGATGGGCTGAAATTGCCCCTCTGGAGGGACAGGCGGATGCGCCGGGGCAGTTTGAGAAGGTCCAGGCAAGCAGGCTTTAGCCATTTCGAAAAACAAGAGCCCACACTCAGACCCGCAACCTGAGAGGATGAGGGTACCTCTCCACCTAAGTGAATCCAGATGCTGCCCACAAACACTGCAGAGCGAGTCAAAGGCTCTGGGCTGCACACTTGGACCTCAGATTCCTGCTCTTTCTCATAGCTGCTGATCATAGGGGCTGTTCAACAGCATTGTGGGAGGGAAATTATCAGCCTCGTTCGTCTTTGAACAAAACAAGAACACCAGAAAATCTTTAAGTCTTTTCCTTTTCCTTTTCCTTCTCCTGAGGACATACCACCTGGCCACAAATCTAGAAACACAGGCCGTGCTGGAAATCTGGAAAGTTGTTGAATTGCATTAGAAAAAAATAATCTGAGGCATGGGTAAAATACCGGACAATTTATATACTGTATATATATATATACAAATATTTTTTTAAAAATATACACATATACACACGTGGTCAGAATTGTTGGTACCCTTGGTAAATAAGATCAAAGAAGGCTGTGGAAATAAATTTGCATTGTCTTTTGATCTTTTTTTTTTCTTTTTTTTATCACAAAAATCTAACGTTTCATTGGAGAATAAGAATTTAAAATGGGGGGGGAATATCTTTATGAAATAAATGTTTTTCTCTAATACACATTGGACATAATTAATGGAACCCTTTCAATTCAATACTTTTTGAAACCTCCATTTGCCAAAATAGTATAGGAGTTTTCTCCTATAATGCCTTATGAGGTTAGAGAGCACCTGACAA